TATGTATTCATGCGATGATACTCTAATCCCTTACTATGATTTACGAGTTCAGACGATGTTGTAACTCCGTATTCATGGGATGTCACAAATTTCGCATGCCAAACCAATAGTCATAATTCACATCAGTGAGAATGGTTCATTTTTTTGTAAAACCAAAATCAGATTGGAAATTTTGATTTTTTATTTTGGAAAATGTCAAACCATTGGTTTTTTATTTTAGTTTTGGTGTTTTTTTTTTTTAAATATATTTTCAGGGTTTTGTTTTTTTTATTTCATAGATTTCTTCATCAACAAATGTTGCTACAATTTAACAAAAATAAATAATTTGCTAAAACATAATACAAGAGGAAGTTTGTTCACATTTAGTCATTGAACTTTTTAGAGGGAAACGAACTTTCGATTTTGTTTATATTTAGTCACTAAACTTTTTTTCGTTATCTATTTGTCACTAAACTATTGAAATTGTTCACATTTTACCCTTATGATCGGCTGTTACCTGCTGTTACCGGTCATAAGGGTAAAATGTGAACAGTTTCAATAGTTCAATGGCAAATAGATAACGAAAAAAAGTTTAGTGACTAAATGTGAAAAAAGTCGAAAGTTCGTTACCCTTTCAAGTCATTATCCCTTGTTTAAACTGTAAACCTTCTATAAATATTTCTTGTCCAAAACCTTTTAATCAATTTTTTTGTGCCATGTAATAAGTATATTGACCCGCATTTAAGCATTTATTAAGACAAAATTGCAAAAATAGTCTTTGTGGTGGTAAAATTTTGTAGTTTTGGTTCAAAATAAAATATTGTTGCATAACTGGTCCAATTTTAGATATCTGTTGTACTTTTGGTCCTATAATTGGTATTTTTGTGTGTTTTTAGTCTAGACCCAAGCTGAAATGACCAATATGGCCTTTAATAATTTTATTTTTATTTTTTTAACATTTTATTATTATTTTCATTTAAAAAAAAATAATACCTCTCTCTCTCTGTCTCTCTCTCCACCCAATTTAACTTTTCGGTTCCATTGAAGACCATCATATTTTCCCCCTCTTCAATAGTTGGAGCTTCATCACCAAACAACATGTTAAAACTAATCGCCACCACTGTATGTGCAACTTCAAACACAAGCTCTCACACACACAAAATACACCCAATTGAAACCATAATAACCCCAAAATTTTGAAGATTCCAGGTCTAACAAAGAATCCACGGTTCATATGAAGTTGATTAAAGTAACATTTTACATACTTCATCTTTCCTTTTTGTATTAAAACAAACCTGCAAAAGCATTAAGAGTTCATCTTTTTCAGCTGCAACTCCATGATAAACCAGACTCAAATCCCCAGCAACAACCAAACTCCTCAAATCTTTCCAAAATCTTCTTCTACGATCTCGATTTCAATGAATATGAAAGTCTTCCTCTCGTCGGTATACACGTAAAGTAATGAGGCCCATATATGTTTTTGACCTGAAATAAATTAGAAATTCACTGTATCCACTTTCCTATAAAGATTTCATGTAATAAAAATTGCTTTTCATTAGGGATGAGCGTGGGACGGAACTGGTACCGATGCGTCCCTTTCCCGATTTCCTAAATACCAAATTCGATCAAAGTTAATCCCGAGTACTGAACCGAATTAACATCACCAGCTGGTACCAGGAATGGTACCGGTACTCGGTACTAGTACCGGAACCGGCGGTACCGATTCCCGAATTTCATGTATTTGGAGTACCAAGTACCGTCCCCTATTTTTAAATTCGGTACTGGTCCGGGATCGGGATTTGGGACAAACTGTTCATCCCTACTTTTCATTATCTTCTTTGCTTTGGCACTTTTAATTCCAGACTTGAAGCTGAATGTTCTTTCTCTCTCCCCCGGTACATCCCTAAATCGAAAGAAATCAAGACATCATCGTTCTTTTGAACATCTAAAAACCACCGCCATTGGGAATTTATCTATGGCATCGCAACTGGATTTGCAGTAGACGATCGATGGCAACAACTGGATTTTCTCATGAAGGCCGAAGAGGGAACTGATCTTGCTCTGCATCTTCACATTCATACATCTAATCTCACTCTTCTATCAATTTCCCTAACTGATTTCCCTTCAATTTTTTAAGATTTTTTTTTGTTTTGGTTTTGAAATCAGGCGTGGGATCGGAGGGAAGAAACAAGTTTAAGGTTATTTGGGTTGGTTTTTAAATCAGTCAGACAATACCCATAGAACTAAGAATAAACTCCATTGTTTGATAGAGTGTAAGTTTGTTCCTACTTGGTTGACCTAGGTTGTAGATATGTTCTTGATGGAGGTGTTGATGAAGGTGTGTATTGTCCTATTCTCGGATTGAGTTTCCATATGGACTTTGGGGGGGAAGCTCGAGTACATCTGGGTTTGTTCATCTGAGACTAATTCAAGGAAGAAGATGGGTCATTAGAGAGAGAGAGAGAGAGAGAGAGAGAGAGAGAGAGACTTTTTTCTTAATTTTAATTACGAATAAATATTAAAAAAACAAATATAAGGGTATAATAATATTTTTATGCTGATAGCGACCAAAAACAATAAAAACATTTAATTTTGGACCAGTGGTGTACCGACATTTCGTTTTGTACAAAAACTACAGAAATTTGCCAACCAAATGGATCATTTTTGCAATTTTTTCATTTATTAACGTTTTTTTGAAACCTCATTATTCCTCAATTTTTTGACCATATTAATCCCTTATACCACGCGGTATGGGACGCAACGAGGCAACAGTGTTGAGGTAGAAGACGCAAACGACGTCACGATGCGGGGAACACCCCCCCCCCCTCATTGAAGCTCATTATGGCTTCAGTCGTGGATGTTACGACAGATTGCAACGTATTAAAATTCGAACGTTAATCACTCGATCATTTGCAAACGCTCAAACTTAAAAATAAAAAAAATAAATAAATAAATAAAAAAGAGAAAAGAAAAAAAACCTTTTATCCTTAAATACTGCTTTTAAATCATTTTTCTAAACCTTTCTCTCTATATCTTATATTCATATTTTCCTTAAAATTTTTAAACAGTAGAGAAAAACCCAAACACCCCCCTCCATAATCAAACCTAAACACAACCTCGCCTCTCGGATGCGCGAGTTATAAAAATTATTTCAACCTTTTATCGTCTCAAGGCTCACCACAAATCTAATACCAAGGCTCCGCTTTCAATCCCGCTTCACCGCCACTACAATTTCCCAACTCACCTTACCTTCAACAAAATCAATTTGGTCAAAACCCAAATTTACAACAAAATCTTTTCCCTACTTTTGCTTCGATGCAACAAACAACCAACCAACCATCTCGTACAACATAACAATTGGCTGAAGTGGAAGCGGGAGGTAGTTGGAGAGGGAAAGGGAAAGGAAAATCGAAAGCGGTAGAAACATAAAATGCAGACGTTCCACAATGTTGGGCACCGAAGGAGGAATATGCTTTGACGGCGGCTTGGTGTGCTACTTCAAAAGATGAACTGTGCGGAAATGAAATGAAGAAATAAGCTTATCGGGGGCGGTGCGCGATAAGTTTCACACTATTTTGAAGAAAATTTTGTATCGCAACAATAACAAGTTGAGCAGCAAATGGGGTCAAATAAGTAAGCGGTGCAGCAAATTCAACGGCATTTACAACCGGCTTGCGGCGCCATAACAAAGCGGAACCAACAATTTCGATTTGTTCAAATCTGCTAAGGAACAATATCCGGTTGAAATGGGTTATTTTTTCGACTTTGAAAAATCATGGGAATTGTTGTGAGCGGATCCAAAGTGGAAAAAACACCTACATCGTTGGAGGTTCAATCCAAAAGGTCTCGCAATTCTAGCTCGATCAACGTGTCGGACGCACAGACTCACATCGACCTAAACGCCAACGACGATAAGATCTCGGATGATATTCAAGAGATATCCCCACCACGACGACCGCCCGGACGCGACAAAGTGAGGTGCACTACAAGACATGCGGAGGGGGTGGAGGCGAGAACAAAAGAAGCTGAAGAAATGATAGAGAAATTCGACGAGCACAATTTATTGATAAAATAAAAAATGAGTTGAAACGTCGTCATTTGGAGTTCCTAGAAAGGAAGACACGGGAGAAGTATGAGCAAAAAGATAGAGAGCTAATGACACAACAATTGTCAATTCTTCGGACCAACGAGGAGGGTTTGGCGTCTGCTAATCCAGCGGTGTTACAAGAGATGAAAGAACAAATTATGAAGACATATTTGGGTTAATTAGGATTGTTGTGTGGTTTTAGGAGTACTTTGAATGGTATTTTAGTTATGATTTTAGGTTTAAAATTATGTTTTTTTTAATTGTAATCGTAATTTTAGATTTTAAATATTATGTCTACTTTTTTGTTTTTAAAATTTTATGTTTTATAAAAAATATATTTGTGTTAGTGATTAAAAAATCGCAAAAAGGAAAAAAAAAAGTAAAAAAAAAACGATTTCGACAAAAAAGAAAAACAAAATATATTTATTTTAAAAAAGTTGGTGTTGCATCATGTTGCCTATTTTTCCGCTTGGTGTTATACAATCATTTGTTAATGTGGCATGTGAGGTGGCACAACTTAGTGTTACACCCTGTTGCCCACACTCAATGCTCTTGACATTTTATTTTGAGGTTATTTAAAATCGTTTTTATGGCTAAATTCAAATGTGAATTTCCTATATTGGACCATGGCATAAGGTTTTTCTATTTGGCAACCGAAGATGGTAGATTGTTTGGCTCAGGCTGATTATGATGTGTTAGGTTAGGGATAATGACTTCAGAGGGTAACATACTTTTGATTTTGATCACATTTGGTCACTGAACTTTTTTTGGTGCTCTATTAACCCTTTAACTTGTTGATTTGTGCAAATTTTCCCCTTCCGACTGGTTTTTGCCGGTTTCAATGAATTTATTGATCCTACGTGTCAGTTTTGATCCTAACTGGCATCTAGGGTTCTTGTTATTAAAGGAGGGGCGTTTGTTGTTCATTTATTGTGCTCTAATACCCCGTTGCCCTAATACCCGATGGCTTCCTCCTACAGCATCTCATCCTCCCTCAATCGATCAAGCAAGAAATCCACAGTGAATGATCCAAAAACTTGTGATTGTGGGTTCCCTGCACGTATTCTAACATCAACAACACCAAAGAATCCAGGGAGGCATTTCATGGTGTGCAATGAGGTAAGCAATTTCACTTAAATTTCCCCTCTTTTCTGATTCATTTATTCCAGATTTGAAATCTCACTTTGAAATTTTATTGTGGAAGGGTAAATGCAAATATTGGAAATGGTTGGATGTAGAACTTGTACAGATGCCTCTGATGGAAGTGGTGGAGGGAATGAAAGCTGAATTAGTAGCATTGAAGACCGAAGTAGAGAAGGTGAAGGAAGACATGGAACAGATGAAGAAGGAAAAGTACTCTGATGCCATTGCAATGAAGGAGAAAATATATAAGTTTACCATTGGATTTCTTTTTCTGATCATCGTGTATATGATGAAATGAAGTCACATGATGTATTGAAAGATGTTGTTTGAATAGAATAGAGTTGTTATCTTAACTTCTTGTTGGAATGGAATGAAGTAACATTGATTGTAATGGAAAATTTAATTATAAAGAAGCATACATATTAACTGCATACATATTAACTTTGATTGGAATGGAATCACAAAGAATGGAATGAAGTAACTTTGACTGGAATGGAATCACCAAGAAATATTTTTGACTGGAATGGAATCATAAGGAAGCATACATATAACAATGAATACATATTTGATTTTGACTGGAATAGAATCACAAAGTAGCATGCATATAAAGAATTAGTTTTGACTGGAATGGAATCACAAAGTAGCATGCATATAAAGAATTAGTTTTGACTGGAATGGAATCACAAAGTAGCATACATATAACAAATACATATAATAAAAAAAGTAAGTGAATGTGGTGGTTGGATTCATTGTAATACGCCATTAATATTCTACAGTTATATAAGTTTTTGTCTGCATACACAAAAGTAGTTTCTAGGTAACACAAAAGATTCCTGCATAGACAAAAGAAGGGCCACCATGTGCCCATACACCTACTTGATAGTACCATAGAAAAGCATAATAAAAAGACTACTACTTTGTCTTTACATCACAACTGCCTTACAAAAGATATTCCTACCCACCCACTATTATCCCCTAAATTAATCAATAACTGAAGGGTTATCTGCATTGCTCCCAACCCCAGGTATCTGCCTCCTTAATGCTTGTTTGATAATCCGTTCAGAATATTTCCTCCTTCCACTTCTACTAACTGGGACCCTTCTTCTTGGCATGGGGGCTGCAGGTGGTGGTGGAGGAGGTTGTTGGGCTGCAGGTGGTGGTGGAGGAGGTGGTGGTCCTTCATTGCCCCTGGATAAACTTGGGTCTGCTCCACTGCCCCTGGATGAACTTGGTACTGCAAACAAAAATTAAAATGTCAATTCTTTGTTCAAATGATGTAATTTTTTTAAAAATATTCACCTGATGTATTGCTTTGTTGGTTAGATGGACACTTTTTCTTGTTGTGACCTGGTTCCTTACAAATACCACACTTTATTATGCTACCCCTTCTTGAGACAGTTTGTCTACTTGATCCACTCAACTCTCGTTCAATTGCATCCCTCTTCCTTTTCACAGATGGCCTACCAGGTAATCTTCTTCTTTTGGGAGGCAAAGGCTTATGGTATGGAACATCTGGCCACATTTCACTACTATTGAGAGGATTAATGCTATATTTGTAGCATTTTAGGTAAGCCTCAGTAGTGTATGATTGGGACACATATGCCTCAGCATCATGATTTAAGTAAGATATTGCTGCCACTCCATGTAAGCATGGTATCCCTGTAAGTTGCCATATTCTACAGGCACACTTCTTTGCAATTAGATCCACTCCATATGCAACATCAGTGAATCTAACCTCATACTTTTGATAACCACAAGGAGTAACTCCCCACAATCTGTTTAAGCATATTAACATCAGTGAATCAATAACACATCCTCATAATTAACATAAGCATATTAAAGTAAAATAATTACCTCTGTTTAACCTTCAGATGTTCTATACGCTTCCTAATAGTTGGACATATAAGCAAATCCCATTCCATTCCTTCAACTCTTTGAGTGTATATCCTTTCCATCACAAATAACCTAATCTCCTCCAGCATAGTGATTATAGGTCTCCTTCTAGCATGCCTAATAGCAGAATTGAAACTCTCACTGACCCCATTCTCCACTGCATCACAGTCTCTTCCTTCTTGAAAGAATGCCTTAGACCAGGTAGTAGGATCTCTGTCTATAAGGTAATCATAAGCATGAGTATCAATAGATTTGATGTTCTCCATTACACCTCTGAACTTCTCCACAGTACTAGCCCTTACAGCCCTCCAAAATAACTTT